CTGGAGCCATTTTGCCATGGCTATTATGGCTAGAGGGACGCCTCTACACTGCCCCACAATCTTTGTGATGCTCGCATTATCATCACATGCACCTCTTCCGAGAGCTTTCTTAAGCAAAAACACGCTTTGCTTTTCATTAAGTCCCTGCAAATCATATTGCATAATCGGGCTAGCAGCAATTTCCCTTACCACAAGACAGCTACGTGTAGTTATCACGATAGCTGTAACACGTGGATCAACCTTCTTTAACACCTGCGACGCCTTCCCATGCTCCTTTACCTTGTCGTGCAACATCTTCACATCATTGTCTTTGATCTCAGCTCTCCAATCATCCAGAATTACAAGTATGTTGAGAGTTTTTGTCGTGGGTGATGGAGATGGTGCTGAGTTGATGATTTGTTTTGCAATGGAGTCTGCATCAAAGGTGTTGTAGTTGGTACCAGGGACACGGACCTGCGAGCCAACCTGCTCTTGGACTTTCTGATCCTGGCAGACATCGTCGACAAGTTTTGTCTTTCCTATTCCTGCAAGCCCTGAAATGGCAATCACAGGAACAGGACTTTCCCCATTATCTTCGCTTCTGCTCCATAGCATGAGTTGATCTATAATCTCCTCCATTTCCTTTTCTCTCCCAATCAATTCTTTAACATCGTCAGGCACCGATCCCTTCTTGCTCGCCTGCTCGTTCAGATACTTTGCCTTGCTTGCAACGCGTTCAAGGTCCTCCCGAACTTGTTTTTTTTCAGCATTGTTGAGCTGTTTTTTAGAAGTCAGCTTTTCAACTTTGAGGAAAATGTTTGAGGAGGGTTTGCTTTTCAACTTTTCCACAGAAGTCAGCACGTTCCAAAGCTGTTGCTTCAAAATAACTAGGGCTTTCACGTCGCTATTGTTGATCTCATTTAGGATCTTCCCCTCAGGTTCCTGCAATTCTGAGGAATTCTCTTTGAACACTTCACGTATTTCCAGGATTATATTTTTAATGTCTTCTTTGTGGTAAGTAGATGCCGCCATTGATCAGGATTCAGGAGAGCGGGATACCGAAGTTCAGTCAGGGTTTCCTAGATTTTTTATATAAGAGAAATTCTATGGTAACCTTATACTAATAAAGACGGTGGTTGCTCCTCCAGTTGTCCTAATAATTCAACCCTCTTTATGTTTCCTCCCATTTTTTTTAGATTAAAAAAAAATATTACAATTAGGTCCGGAAATTAATTACCAAAATATTTATTTATTTATTATTATTATTTGACTGAAAATGCCAAAGGATTAACCATCACAGGTTGGTATTAATCCATGATTCCAAAATTCTAATACCACGTGTATTTGAGGATGAAATAAAATTGTAAATTATAAGAGTCAAATTAAAATAATTAATTTTTTCTTTAACTCAATTCATATTATTTTATATATTAATTATTTTTAAATTAAAATATTTTTACTTAAAATGTATTTTTTAATTTATTAAAATATATTACTCATAGATTTTTTAAAATTAATCAGATAGTGTGTTTGGGTTCAACTACCAACTTTGGACTTTTATTTGCAATTTACTAAGTTTTCAAGGGTAAAAAAGGAATATCAATCCCGAGGAAATATGCAAATTAACATATCCTTTCATCCAACAGACATATATATTCATCAGCTGACATATATATATATATATATATATATTAAGTGCGAAAAAGATTTGTGTTTCATTAATTATTTATATTTTTTTCTTCTGGGTTTCTAAAAGCGCGTCAGAACACACTCATTCATTCTTTATAAACGTGAAAGAAATAAACATTTTTCCAACACATTCATCAAACAAACATTGTAAACAGTTGAACTTTTTTGGCGATTAGAGAAAGATTATCCCACACAATTGCTGTTTCAAGAAATCAAACCTTAATAGTTAATAATCACGGATTTACCAGATTGCGGCCAAATATAAAGCATGGTGGTTTAGGTTTTTCAGAAACCTCTCTTGTTGAAATATAAAACTGAAGCTTCTTGAATGGTAAAAATAAAAGCTCAAAAGTGATTTACATACCTAGCTCGTCATCTGGGTCTGCTTTTAATTGTGAACTGTATAATGCTTCCAATCTGTTCCAAGCTTCTTTTGCCGTTTCAAGATCTCTAATTTGAGTAAGAACCTCTGATCCACTTGCTAGCTGAATGATATACAAAGCCTTCGCATTCTGCCTCTCCCAAGTCTTAGAAAAAGCTTTTGGTTTCACACTAACTTCAGAAACAAACGCGACAACTTCCCACAGATCTTCACCTATTAGATAGTTCCTCACAAGAGCACTCCAGTTCTCGTAATTGTCTCTTGTGAGTGGTTCTAGAACTAATCCACTACCTGCAAGGCTCATACCTGCGATTGCACTGGTTCCACAATCTGAACATATAAAATATACCGAATCAATTAGCCTAACAGATTTGCTTCTCTTTGTATGTATTCATTTGAATGATGAAATGAAAGAGAAATAGAAATAAGAGAAAGCAACGTGGTTTGGTGGTGTACTCTTAGAACTTTATGAAATGAAAGACAACTAGAAACAAGCTTGGGGAGAAACTAATCATTTACCTTGCAGGGAACTGTAGCAACAACAAACAAAAAGGAAAAAAAAAAAAAAAAAAAAAACACTTTATTGGAAAATTTGGTTCTTGGAATGAAGGTCTAACTTCAGGAAAGCTTGCACATTCAGATCGTGTGGAGAGGAATCAGAGGATATGGTTGATTCGCGCTTATACACAGACTAAAAAAATAAAGTTAGAAGCCCGGGATTTTGATTAGATTCATGAAGTGAACCTAAAAAATTATAAACAGATTAATTAATATGGATTTTATTAAAAGAAACTTACATATCTTATCTATTTTAATCCTAATTATTTATGATATCAATATTTATTCATTTTTCTGATCTCTCGTAAAAAAAAATCTATTATTATTAGATCAATTCTAAAACTAATGTAAAAAGTCAATTTTTAAGTTTTTATATATGTTGTAGTGAGAATCGATCTGACTTTCTACGTCATTTTGGCCAGAATTAATACAGAAAGTCCAAAATTTCTGGATAACAACATATGCAGAAAGACTATTTAAAAAAAATAGCAATACAATTATATACATATCGCATCCATGTAATATACTATATTTCAATTCAAAATCTACAAAAACAAAAAAGGAAACAAATATAGAAAAAATACAAAACAAATTTATTTCATTAGTTATATAATGATACATCTCGTATATGTATCAAAGTAAAGTGTGGTTTTCTTTTTATTACAATGACTAAACTAAATGTATATTATTTCCCTATTACAATGATAAACTTACAACAGTGTATTCGAATTCAAAGAAGAAGAAAAAAAAAAATGTCGTCGGTTTGCTTAAAAAAATTTTCCTTCCATGAACAACAACAAAGATTGTGAAACTTATTCCCCCCTGGTTAATTACATAGTCAAAATGCAAGAAATTTGAATGTTTCTTTTTTGTTTTCATTTGATACGATATCAACGCCAATTTCCTTCAAGTTAGTTTTCGCCTATGATTTTAAAAAAAATTAATAAAGATGAATGAATATAATTCATTAACTCGAGTAAGAGCTTTATACTAATACAAATATGGAACAAAAGAGATAAGAAATTTGAGTTAACTTGCAGGAAAAATAATTGATGTTCATTATATAGGATAAAAGAAATATAGGCAAATTTTCCATATATGAATCTTGTAATAAGAAAAGAGAAGTTCACATGTTCTTCGTTAGTGTATGTGGAATGAAACAATTCATTAAGTGAGTTGAGAACATTATTTTTTATGAAAAATAATTCAAATTTTCAAACTCAAATCATTAAGATATTATTTAAATTTAAAACGATATTATTTTTCTTTAAGATATATATATATATCATTCAAAATAAATAAAAAAAAATATCCTACTTATTTTAAGGGGTTGTTTTCTCTTTTAATATTAATATGTTACGTTGACTTTTAATATGAAACAAATTTTCAGAGTTGTAGAGAGGGTCATCCATATGAAAGGCGAATCATATATATGAAAGAGGTTTATCCAGTTTCGCAAAAAAAAAAAAAAAAAAAATTGTGAGGGGAAATTTATTAAGTTTTACCAGAAAATTTGTAAGGAGAGGTTTGATTTCAATGATCATATGAAGAAGGGAATCTTCAAAATTGAAAAATGTTGTACTTATTTTAAGCATTTGTTCTCTCTTTTAATATCAGGATATTATGTTAATAATTATATGCTCTTGATATGAGAAGAATTGTTTAATTTTTAAAAGAATCACTGTCATAAATAAGAAAATGGTCATATGGAGGACAGTTTATCTAGTTTTACTAAAATGCTTGTAAGAATGGTTGATCAGATTTTGCAAGAAAACAAGTATATATTGGAGAATTTTTAAGTTTCACTAAAAAAACACATAAAAAATTTTTTTAGAAAAATTTGCAATATATTTTATGTTAATCAATATCTTGTGGTATTGTGGACAACACAAGAGGTTGAATCAAGTTAAATAATTTTATATAATCTTTTTTTTTTGTTATGATATTTCTATGTATTATTTCATTAGAAAGGAAAAGAATGAGTTTTTTTTGTTCATAATAGATTTCTCTATTCAAACTCGTTATTAAATTCCTTCAATTCAAATAGATTATCCAGAGTCTTCGAATATTACTCCAATGTACAACCTACAAGTATAGACAATAAGATTAGGGTTTTAAGCATTACAGATATAGATATAGCAAAAGAGAGAATGCTACCTCGCGAAGGAGCGAAGGGGATGCATCTTATTAGGCTAGGGTTTGGTTGAAAAATGAATACATATATATTTAGAAACACAAAAAAGAGATGCGTATAATGAGAAAATGTAGACTAAAGTTATACTTATATAATAGGATATAGGAAAATTATATAAGGAATATATGTGTCAGTTTGATTAATGCTCCATTGCGTCACGCTCCACCGGTGAGTGATGGACGAGGGAAATTGGAGTCACATGAAGGAGGGCATATAATAAGATCTTGTGTTAAGATTAATCTAATGATTTTAGAGAATGAAACATGATGGACTACATGTGACGTAGTCCATCCTAAAAACCATCTTAAGAACTAATGTAAAATGGATGTGAATGTTCATCCCAATATTAAAAAAAAAATGCACTTATGCGCATATAGTACAGAACAATAACTTTCTAGGAATGATTTTAAAGTCCAAATATTAAAAACATCTTTTGTACTGTTTTTTTTTTAAAAAAAATCTTGTGTATAAAAATTATTCATCTGCTCGCCATCAAATAGGAGGAATTTATCGGAAATACTCTTTTTTACATTTAGTTTCTTAAAATTAAATAAAATTTTATATCATAAAAGATTAAAAAAAATGTAGTTAAATTTACCATAAAAATGTATTTTATATAATTATTTTCACTCAAACAAATACATAGAGATATAACATTTTGTTTCTATTTTATTTTTCTTTTATTTTAATAATTATACACCATCCCTCTTCGTTTTGCTTAGGTGTCTTTCCCTGTTTGGCATGGCTGTTGAGTTTTTTTTTTCTTTTTCTATTAGAATGTAATTTCATGCAAACGATTTATATATAAACAACACACGACCTTGTTAAGTTTCTAGGAATTTTAACAGCAATTAAAAAATTGCAAAAAAAACATGATGAATTGGTGATCCACATTTTACGGGTCAAGTAAGAATATGTACAAAATTAGACTTTTCTTGTGCTCAGTACAGTGGCAAATTGTATCCACCGATGCATACAAGTATTAGAGTTGACCAATCGCACACAACTGACAAATGATCAAGGATCACAATGTGGTTTTTTTATTTAAAAAAGTTTAATTAATATTAGTACTTCAGCAATTAAATATTGTGCATAGTTCTATAAATATTTGAATTATTATATTAATATTACAGCATGGATAGGGCGACAAACGCTATTTTGGCTCTTTCTCCGTTTTCTTTAATCAATACAGTTGTCTCTTCGTTTTGCACTCTGTTGTTTTGTATTTATATTATATGGTGGTAGCGTGAGCCTTGGAATATTCCATACATATAACATTTAAAATTCTTTTCATCTTATGCAGATTTCGGAGAAGTCATACATAGATTGAATGAACAAATGAAGGAAACACTTTTTAATTGTTAGTTGCTTATTAAATTCTTGTCTTATATGGATAAAAAAATGTTTGCATTAGGTTAATTTAATATTATTGTGTAAACCGTGAGCGCATAGGAGAACGTCAGGCATGGTGGTTAGAAACTTAGAAAAATGCATATGGTGCCACTTGATCACCACAAAAATTATTTTTTTTATTGTACAACAGCAATGACAAATGAGCCCATGCACGGGACAGTAATCAAATGAAATAAAAGAGAATTCATTTAATCGAATGTTATAATTATATTAATAAAAACAAAAAATAAAATAAAAAAGATAATTCGCAACTACATCTGTTGTTGGGAAATTTTTAATGCTAGCTGTTGAGAAAAAGTCTTTTATCAGTGAGAAAATTGTTGTATGTCTGTAAGAAATGTTATAACGATTTTTTTTTTACGATATTTAATGTTGTTGTCACTCTTATATCTTAACAACAATGATTAACGTTTTCATTTTGATACACTTGTTTTCATTAGTGATTTTTTTATCTATTGAAATTATAATAAAATTTATTTTTTGTGAAATAACAAGATTTTGAATTGACTTTGTTCGGGTTCATAATCCATGATGAATTTTCGATCAAGCAATTTTATTTGATTATTAGAAATTTGGATAGATAATCTAAATTACTCATAACCAATACCTTATAAATATAAAATTATAGCACCTAGAGCCACAATATAATTTTATTTTGCCTTTAAAAAAAACAACAATAAAATTATAATGACAATACCATAATTTAAACTTATGATTTTGTGTATATTATTCTAATTGTTCACTAATTAAATTAACTTAATAATTTTATCATTTGTGATTTGTGATAACTATCAAAATCGTCATATTTTATATATATTTTAAAAATTATTACTATCGTAAGAGATAATCTTTCTCATCAACTAAGTTGTTGCTATAAGATAATTTTTCTTAATAATTAATATCGTTGTAAAAACCTACTAGGCGTATTGGTTATAACATTTGAATTTCTCTTACTATATATATTTTTAACTAAAATTGATTATTGTTGTTTTTTTTTTTATATTAAAAGTTTCAACAATAAATTATCATTGCTTAATGACTCACATCATTGCAAAATTTCATATAAATTTTAAATTCTAATTTAATAACAATTTTTTTTATGTATTCATTTTTAATTATGATAACTATTTAAAATAAATCGAATTAAAATCAATAAAAATATATAATTTTTATTTATAAACATGATCTAGTGTCTTAAAATTGAAAATTAAAAATTAATTTGTACTCGTAAAATGTAACTTTTGTTGATCATATATTATTTTAATACATACAAAAATCAAACTCAAGACCACCATGTCAATTCCTTATATCTCAGGACAAACTTTATAATTATCGGATCAAGAGATTTGGTTAATAAAAATACATTTTTATTTACACATAATTGACAATATTGTTAATGGAAAATAAAATAAAATCAACACAACATATATGAATATGAGTAAATATCATAAAATATTATTTATATCATGG